AACAAGAAGACTCATCTTAATCAAAGGCCAATAAAGGGGATATATTGAATTGAATAAAATGTTAAAAAATTACCTTTTACTGAATTGATTGATGAAATAATAATGCTCTGATCAACTGCTATCTCATCAATGTTTTCTGAAAATTCATATAAGTAATTGTGGCGTACTTACGCCCCTACTCACCCCTCGCTAATTCCCAGAGCTTCCGCTCCACCCCTTCCTTCTTCCGCCCCTACTCAAGGCTTCTATCCTTCCTTTTATAACCCTGCGATCGCTCCTTCCGCAGGAATTAATCACTGTAAATAAACAAGCATGTATATATAGGGGCGTCTGCCCATCTTCATCTTTTAGAGAATCAGACGTGTATTATCCTCCTGAGCTGCGTACGCTACAGTAATGGCAGAATTTGAACCACAGATTTAAAGTAATTACTTTTTTTTTTGAATTATTATCTCTCTCTCAAAACAATTGAAGGCTGCCATCTGATCATGAGTGAATTTCTGATTAGATAGATTTGATTTCTATGAGAGATTGAATCAAAAACAGAAACAGATATAGAGAAAGGAAAAAAAACAGTAGAAATGAAAAAAATGAAAAAAATAAAATAAAAATTATCAGAAAATGAATGAAATTTAACAGTTTAAAGATTTCTGCAGCTGCTAAAGCAGCTTTATACAATAATTTTTCAGAACTCTGTACTTCTGCAGAGGTAGTTTTCTGATCACTTTTTATAATCAAATTCTCTTTTTGTACAAGAGAATTATCAGAAATTTACTCATCAGATTGTTTAGACTTTTGAAACAACTGTGAAATTTCAGAAGATTCAGATTTAATGAGTAGTATTTATCATTGCTGATCAGCTGAAAAATATGTGATAAAAGATGATTCAATTCATTGATAAATGAAATTATAAGAATCAGCAATTGCAGCAAAAAATGACTCAGCAGCTTGCTGATTTAATTGATGATTAAATCATTTTTTTTATACTGATAATTCTTCAAAACTCTACTGCTCAGAATTCAATAATGAATTTAATTGTTATTATCTCTACTTTCTTTGTATCTTTCTCTTCTTTTACTCTTTTCAGAGATATTATACAAAGGTCAGTGAAGTTAAAGTTGAAGATGAAATAATCATCATTTAATAATGTTGAATTTATAAATCTAACAATCACACTTCTCATTTTTTTTTTTTTTGAATAGAAAATGGTTATTTTTTTTTATATAATACAATCAATATCTGATCTGTGATGAAAGTGAATCACTGATTTAAGAGGTGGTTCATCAATGCAGAGTGTGAAAAATTAAAGAAACAGCTGATATAAAAGTTTTTTTAAAAAACAGATGATGTTCTATCAATGAAAAATCATCATCAATGAAATTTGTATGTATATATTTTCTTGTAAGCAGCGATGTTAGAAATGGCTGCTTATATTTCGGTTGGTCCTTAGGACTCTACGAGGATCAAGCAGTAGGAGATAATACGGTGATATATCGGAGAGGATTCGGATCAAGTAGTTAGATATTGAGGGTGTAGAACGTAGGGGTCAGATTATAACAGAATGATCCGCTGGTCCCTAAAAGGTTAGACCAGCTGCTAGCTATATACACACAGTATCGTAAGCAGATCGAACTTGCTATGATGTAGATGGCGTAGTATGATGCAAGTGGCAAGATAATGCCTTGATTTCAAACTTGATATGACGTTGGTGGTGTTATGTTCGGCGATGTCATATCTTTAAGGCTATCGCTAATTCCGGCCTAGCACTGGCACCTTAGTGCGGGTTTCCTACATTTCTAATATGACTGTCAGTGCTGCTGTGGAATCTCTGAAGCTGATTTATTAATAAAAGAAACTTTCTTTTAATAAATTGATAAAGTTGTTGAAAAGACAGAGACAGCTTTAAAGAATCTATCATTTTCTTTTTCTTCATACAAAATTGCTGAGATTTTGATCTTATATAATAATATAAATGGAGTATATTTTTAAATAAATTAAAATGTATTACTAATTAGTTAATGCAGCTCTGCTCTTCATTGTATGAAGGTTTTCTATTATACAGTGTATTCTCTCATTATAACTGATTATTGTACAAAGACAATAGAGAGTGATGAGCTGATTGATGAAAATGAATGAATTAATAAATTAATGATGATGATAAAAGCAGTGAATTACATCTGTTTCTTTATATTCATTTATTTTTTTATAATAATATTCTTTTCTTTTTTCTCTTCTCTTTTTCTTTTCTTTTTCTTTCAACACATCATCATATCAATCATATATGTACAAAGTTCTGATAAATTGCTTTATTAATTAAATATCAAATATCACAACATTAACTGCTCTTTTTTTTATATAATATAAAACTCTCTCTCTTTTCAATCTTTTTAATTTTTAGAATCTTCATTGCATTCTTTTTATGACTGATCAATAGTTGAGTTTCTTTATTCATAATTTACAATTCAGAATAGTTCTTACTTTTTTAAAATAAAATATATTTTTTATATAAATCAGCATGACAGACCTGCAGATTCAAAACCACTGATCATTATATATTAATATCATTTTCATTCAATCTCACAATTGAACAAAATCATATGTATGTTTTATTTACTAAAATACTCATTCAGACCTTTAGTCATTTTTAAAATGCTATCATTTATCTGATCATTTTGATGAAGTTTGTAACAATTGCAAATAACATGATCATGCCATTCACTGCTCTGTATAAGACGGGGAAGAGATGGAAATGATAGAGATTGTAAATGATGATGAGAAAAATAACTTTCAACAGCAGATGAGAAGTTTTTCTAAATAACAATTACTCACAATTAATTCAACATTTACTGCTTTTATAATTCTTGATTAACTCTCTTTTTCTGATATACACAATCTTTTTTTTCTTTCTCTTTCTCTTTCTCTTTCTCTTTTAAAAAGGTAGATATGTATTATTTCTATTTATTTTAATTATATAAAATTTATGTATGACATCTAAACATGATCTGCATCTCTACATTGATTTTCAGAATTAATAACTTATATGATAAAGTCAAGCAGATTATATAGATAGAAAAAAAATAGAGAAAAGATAGTTACTTAATTAATCAGATTTATATTAATCAATTTTTACTAGTAAATAAAGATAAGCTCTAGTATAAAAGAAAGAATAGATTCGCAGTGAAAAAAATAATGATTATTTTAATTTTATCAGACAGAGTGAAGTGAAGTCTCTAAGAATTATATAAAGCTCCAATCATGCCGCGCGCATCCACATCTGATGTGGGTGCGCCACACCATAGTGATAAAAACAATGTAATGATAAAAATATGAATAATATAAACTTCAAAAATCAATATCTCAACACTGTGTAGCTAATCTATGATAATTAATTTATTTATATCATCTGTAGTAGCAGTATGTGAGGGGTGATGACAGTGTGAAGAGTGAATAGTAGAAGATAGTATATAGTGTAGTGGAAGATAGTAATAATAATTATAATAGTAG